AAGTCAAACCTTACCATTTTAACAGCAGCATAAATGCGTCACGACGCGCAAAATCGTGACGTTCGAATAAATTGATGATGATTATTGCGAAAGCGAAATGACTTAGCTGTGTGAGAAAGTAAAAAAAAAGAAACCACTTGCAATGTAAAACAGAGAGCGTTGGACGACTGGTTCACGCGATACAAAAGAAATAAAAGAGTGATACCACTTCACTGCGGCACTTCATTCGATTACCGTTACCACGAACACGCACTCAAATGAAAAAAAAAGAAAGAAAATAAAAAGCAGACATTATAAAATCTGAGCGATGACACCGTGCAACGAATCCGATGCAGCGGAACACTCAGTTTACAGAAGTGCAGCGCCTGAGGCGGCTGTATACCCGCATACGGTGTAACTATATAAAAAAAGAGTGACAGTGTTTACCGCAGGCACCTTCTTCAAATCTCATCCAACTGCCTTCTCTAACAAACACACACAACACACGCACACAAACACACTAACTCTCATATAGAAGACTGAGCATGCTCCCATCACGAGATAGTCCCTTGCTGAGCTATCCTGTCTTCCTGTGTTTTTCTTTCCTCTTTCTTTCCCCATCTTTGTTCTTTCGTTTTTCCTTGATTTATAAACCTTCTAACCTCTTGGCAGGGTAGCGAACCGACGGACGCACGCGTCGTTGACCTCCGCACCTCTTATTTCACCCTCTCTACTCCTGTTCGCAAGAACGTCGAAACACAGCAAAAAGAAAGTAAACACAAACACACACACCGCACGCACGCGCGACCATAGCTGGCAGGTATAGGAGAGTCGGGCAGCTCTTTCTCGAGTGTTTTCATGGAGACCCGCGAAATGAAGTATCGATTTTTTTTTTCGGGCAATGCCGTCAATACGTCTCGGAAGCACAACTTTCTCGATGCGATGACCGCTCTCCGCAGATTTTCAATTTTGGAGCCGAACGAGCGAGAAAAAACGCCGTAGCAGATTGGAAATACAGATGAAAGAATTAAAAAAAAAAAACAACGAGCAGGAAAATTTTATGAAATGTGTATCGCTTCTCCACTCGCGAACACTTAGCCCCGGTCGCTTCGCGGCCGGAGGCGATTTTGTGAACGATTTTAGGACGAATGGTACGTCTTTCGCTCACGTTTTTTTTTCCATGTTGTTCATTTTGTACGTCGATAAACACGCGGCATTTCCGTGAACACTACTGAAGCGAGAAGGAAAAAAGATAAAATGAAACGTGTATTGTAGTAACCAGTGTTCGGGATCGATAACGTCCCTATATAAGACTTGGTACATCACTTTGCGACAAGGAAAGTTTACGCGCTTTAGTAGAGGGAGGAAGAGAAAAAAAATGGGGGAAAACAAGAAAAAAGCGCAAAGAAGTACGAAAGGCCAGAGGCGGTTCCGTTTTGAAAGCGACACACTACCTTCGCAAAGAGTTCATCTTGTTAAGGCTTCTGTATAGCTACTCTAAACCTTATTATTATCATTGTCTTTTCGCAGTCAATATTTGTTATTAATTTTGAACAAGCTTTGCGTGTCTTACAAAACAGCCGTTTTCATTGTTGTTTTTTATCTGCTCCGCTTATTCTTGTGGTCATCCCCAAGCCGTTTGTTACCGTAAGATTCGTCACATAAGATTTCGCATCGTCGATCACGTTCAGAAAGCGCCGGGTTCCACAGTATACCGGAGTTCGTAGCTGAATAACCGTGACCACTCTTCGAGGTGCACCGTCAGCCCGCGGAATAACATTAGGTAACGTTGTGCACAGCGGTGGTTCCACGGTTACGGCACTCGGATGCTGACCCGAAAGTCACGGGTTCGATACCAGCTGAATAACCGTGACCACTCCTCAAGGTGCACCGTCAGCCCGCGGAACAACATTAGGTAACGTTGTGCACAGCGGTGGTTCCACGGTTACGGCACTCGGATGCTGACCCAAAAGTCACGGGTTCGATACCAGCTGAATAACCGTGACCACTCCTCGAGGTACACGGTCAGCCCGCGGAATAACATTAGGTAACGTTGTGCACAGCGGTGGTGCCACGGTTACGGCAATCGGATGCTGACCCGAATGTCGCAGGATCGATGCCGTCCGCAACGGTCGCATTACGACGGAGGTAAAACACTACAAGCCGGTGGACTGCGCGATGTCAATGCACTATAAAGAACAACAGGTGGCCCCAATTTCCGGAGCCCTTTACGGCAGCGTTTCCCATAATCACATCGTGGTTTTGGGGCGTTTAACCCAAGATACTGCCATTATTGCGTATCTTGAACAGCTAAGCAAACAGTGCTACGGTAGGCGCATCACGTTAGAAAACGGTTTGGGTGACGCATTCAACGTTTCAAGACTTTGATAATTCCACGTCACACGAAATGAGCCAGAAATTACAACTGTTACGTTTGTTTATTTTAGCTTTTCTTCTCGACGCGAGGTGGCGCATCGTCGCGCAAAAGCCGTCTAAATGTGTTCCATTTCTCGGACAGCATGGGCTCGATGCTGTCTTCTAAGCAGTCTTCGTAGACTGTCTACGTGCTGTCTAAGAATCGGAACACAGGCTACTTTGTTTGTTTACTGTCATCGGGCGCGGCAGATACCATCGCGTACACGTCCGCTGAGCGGCGTATCCACGTGACACCATACGCACTCGCACGACGTTCTGTCGGCCGGAATTGCGTGACGCGATTGCGCTTCAGACGCGAGCGATGCGTCAGCGCGGCGCGCCCCGCCGCCATAAACCGGACACGCTTTGGCTGGCTGTTCCGTGCAATGAGGATGACTGCAGATCACGTTGACGCAAGGATGGTGCTTGCACAAAGGATTGACGCCGTTTCGGTACTTTCACCCACGCTGACTTTCCAGATGGTAAAGGAGGACGAGGGGGAGCAAAGTCAACTAGACGATCGTCCGGATTGCTATTCAACGCTGGGCGAGATGGAATGGAGGATTCAAAGATAGAGAGGAAAGAGGGAACAAAAAGGTGTCACGCAAGCTTAAACTAGAGTGCCGCATTCGGTATTAGTGTACGCAGTAATTCGGGTACATCACGCTTCACTGTAGATAGCCGGGTCGTGGCGCCTACTGAAGGCTTGCAAGCACTGGGCGCAGAACATCCAGTACCTGCTGTACGGACTCGGCATGCGGTGACTTCAGCCTGCCGACGAACACTCGAAGTGTGTTTATATATGATTGACGAACTATCAGGACCTAGGTGGCCCATGCGGTTGAGCGTGACTTGCACGTGCAGACGATATAAAGGCAGGGATACACGCAATACGCCACGCCCTTTTAACCGGTTTATTTGAGCCCCTGCCTTTAAATGATATGCTCGACAGTTCTACACGCTGCAGCGAAATTACTGTCGGTATCTGCTTTTTTTCCTTTTCCCTCTCTTTATTCTTTCTCATCTTTCTTGTCCCCTTCCCTAATCCCCCAGTGTAGGGTAGCCAACCTGATGTCTTTCTGGTTAACCTCCCTGCCTTCTCCCTTTTGTTGCTTCCTTCCACCTTCATGCTCGACATAATCATCCACATGCTGATTATTATGACAGCATTTTTCAGCTTTTCGCCTGTTTCTCGCACGGTAAACTCAATCCGAAATTAAGCTGCCGTCAATTCACCCACGTTTCGACGCTTGCAAAGGGACGGATCTTCCCATGTTCCCCAGGCATCTCTCCTTTTTCCCGTCTATGAACTCTGTTGTATCGGCAATTCATAAAGCTGTACTGTATTGGCGCCCATGAAGCTATTGCACTCATTGCACCCATGGCGCTAAGTTCGTTAGACAGCATAAAGCAGCAATGAGATGTGCTTGCATGAATATACAGTATAAAAGCGGCTGAAGAGCCACCACAGAAAAATAATTTTCAGATTTATTTCTCCCATTTTTCCTGAAGTATGTTTCACGAAATTACGTACACAAGCACATTTAAAATTGCTGTATTCAAGACGAAAATTTCGAGCGTCTATTAAAAAGTTATGTGACGCACTTATTAGAAAATGTGTTGCAAATCCGTAGTTAAAGGGACACCAAAGTCAAATAACAATTTACGTCAGAGTGAAAGCTCAATATATGACAACATCTAAAACGACCATATTGTCAACAACAGTGGCCTACTTACCGAGAAATTAAGGTAAATGCACAAGAACACAAGCGCCGCAGTAGGACATTTTCAAAATGATCCCGATGACATCAGACGGACCACCGACAATTATTCACTAGTAATTGATCTAAATGCACTAAACAAAGAACCTTTCATGCATTAAGAGACGCAATAAAATGCTACTTGTTCATTTCTGTTAGATTCATGGAAAAAAGAACCACCGGGAAGTTACTATGGGGAATGGCGCGAGTGGTTCAAAAATTAAATTTTAGCGTGGTTAAATGGGACAGGTGGTGCTATATAACGGGGCGCAGTTGAAACAAAAACGTTTGCAATCTCAAAGTCAATGACGGGAAATTGATCAATGGGCGTTGTTGCTGCTGTGGCTCCCGCTGCTGTGGCTCCCGCTGCTTTAGGTCTGCTGCTACTGGCGCAGTAAAGCCGGGCAACACTGGGTACGGCAATAGTGACGCGAGCCGGTCCGGTCGGTCCGCTTCTAGAGGCGGGTAATTTGAAGTGCGCTAACCCAATGCGGAGCACTAAAACGTCATTTTATTTCAAAATAGGCCCTTCTTTGGCACAAAAGTAACATTACATGGTTTCTGGACCGCCATTTCAACAATCAACATCGACTTAATAGTTGCCTTTAGTGTCCCTTTAACTTGCACTGACATAGCGCAGTATACGGGCGCCTACCATTTGGCCTCCACCGAAGTTCGACCGCCGTGGCAGGGATCAAACCCACGACCTTCGGGTCAGCAGCCGAGCACCACTGCTCGACCCAGACGGAGATAAATGGGCGGAACGGAACCCAACCTTCAAATTGGTGATCCCGCACGAAAAGTCGAGGCAATGAGACGAAAGGAAAAATGGAAACAACTACTCACCGAATCGGAAGTGGAAAGGCCAATGTGACTGTTGCCGTCGCACCAATCATCCCTGTCAGAGCCGCATCAGTGATTGCCTGCAATCAATTAATACTCTATCAATTCTCGTTCAAACACTCAGAATTTTCTGACTGCAATGCGCGCCCTTGGTGACGCAGGTTTCGTAGAGGAATTTGATACGGAGCGCCTCCGAGGAAAAAACAATGAGCACTGCTTGCCAAAAGTCGCGTGAGTCAGGGTCACAGAAGAGCTACCGGGTGGATGGTTCTGGATTGTCTTGGCTTTTACCCTCTTGCACATCACTTTCCCTCCCTCATATTATACAGTACAGTAATATAATATACTATATTATATTATACTACACTAAACATGGTTAGGCTTTCTCGCGGCAAGAAATATTTTTTCAAGAATTCCTTTATCTATCTCCTTCTCTGAAGTCCTTCTCTCACCATTCAGAGTTGTTACATCCCACGCCACAAAAGTGGACTCGCGTGTCCTGGGAGCAAAGCGGGACACAACAATGAACAAGACGTACAGCTAGTTTAGTGATAAGTGTACAGCTAGTGTGATGACGATAATTTTATATCTAAAACATACGGCAAATCTCAGGCGCAACATCTCTCGTGCAAAATATCGGATTATGCCTCCACACGCAATAAATCATCGCCCTAGCACACAGCAGAGGTAGCTAAATGCTGAAACTGAACCTATACATCTTAACAAACGCAAAAGCATGAAGCGCACAAAGAAGAGACACGGAAACAGGACCCTTTAGCGTAAATTTCTGCGTTCAGAAGCTGAAATGTGCACCGACCATGTTTATCGCTTGGTTAATCACGACGGTTTCTTGAATTATTTCAAGGAACCGTCGCTATAAAATATTAACAGAAATAATAACAATATTAAATAAAAGTAGATGCCACAGGCTTACTTATCTAAGCCATTCAAAGTACAATGCCTGTGCAAATTCGTGTTAGAAGAATGAGCATGCATTAACGTTGCCCTAATAATTCTCTTAAATGCTCAGTCATTTCGCGCAAAAACGTGAGCACGCCTTCTTCTGCTCTCTGTCGCTCTCTCTCCCTTTCTTTTTCTTATCTTCCCTACTTTCTCAAAGCTCGAAACAGCCTCACTATAAGTTGTACGATTTGCATACACGAGTTGCGAACGAAGCCGCCAATTACGCGAACCGCGCGTTTCAACCCTGAGTTGAACTGAGTTCGCCCGCAGCCACAACCCGCAATTTCTATTTCCTGATTTTTTTTCAAGATTGCCGCCCGTTACTCTTTCTCACACTTGCAAGCCGTGTACCTTGAAAACCAATAAAAGGCAGCGATGTAGCTGAACAGCGCCGCGCAGTGGGTGCGTTCAAAGAGAACGAGCATCGCCTTACTATGCACGACTAAAAAAATAATGAGAAAGAATACGAAGAAACCCTAATCCTTGACTTATGCGTATGGTAATGACATTCGCAAGACGGTGTTCGTGTGCCCTGGTGCATCCCGTAGGTAAGCTTTGTGTGTCGGTGCATCGCCGAAAATGATCTCGGAGGCCACGCGGAAATTAGCAAGTGGTTGAGATATGCTACACTAGGTGGCGCAATATTGCCAGCAGCTCGCAATCTTTTAATCAAATAACTTTCAGTAATTAGCTTGTGAGTTCACTGGCCCTTGTATTCCGCAAAATAATGGTCCGATATCATGCAGGGCTGGAAGCGGGCTTCCGTGTGATGGAGCGGCTTTGGAAGCAGGAATAATGCAGTTTTGGAGCAGCTTTGGAGCAGTGAAAAGAGAGTTTTGGAGCAGTTATGGAGCACCAAAAGGTGTGTTTTGGAAAAATTTAGTTTTCGAGCAGATTTCTCGGCTCACACATCACTGTTAATTAGAATTTTCGCTTTCTGGTAAACACAAAATGTTTCAGTGGTTTTTACTAAACATGCAATGTTGTTCGAGCAGCCAGACTTACCCCAAACTGGTATATATTAAACCTTAGAACATCAAAGCTGAAAACACAGCATCCCAAGAAAAAAAAAACTTAAACGGCGCTCTGGACAGTTAACAGACCTCAGACAATCGAAAAAAACATTAATGTTAAAATGTTGGAATGTTCAAAATGTGATTGAAACACCGCCGCATCGAACACGAACAGCAACTCAAGACTAGAGATGAGTTTTATCGTAAAAGTTATCTTCATGCTATAGTATTAAGGCTCTATAAAATAAATGTAAAAAACTGATGTTCCGGTCATTTAAGTACCACAGCCGACATGAGAACCGCGAGGAGATTTAGATGCGTTCGCCACGCCATCGCTAGGCAAATATCATACTTTCTTTTTCCCTAATCTCAAAAGCGTTTGCCAGTACATCGTAGCTATTCTTCAGATGCTCAAATCAAATTAAATTATTTCGCGTTATAACTGTTAGCGACAACACCAAAATTAATCTAGTGGTCTGATGTTATTCGTAATTTTCTTCCGGCACCTTCTCTGTACCAATCACTTTCAACCTCTAAGACCTGATATCAAAATGCAGACAACAATATCGATAGAGCCAATGGCATTTCTTATCTGCCGAGATTGCATAACCACCACACAAAGCACACAGCTCAGAGAATCTAAACAAAAGGTCAGCGCCTCAATGCAGTAAGAGCATAAGCGACGAGGCACTTGACCCCCTGACCCGAACAAATATAAAGCTATGGATGTTCAAGGCTAAGCTATATAGTTCTTCAGTTCAAACCTGACGCCATGTCGAAACCGAATTCGCTTGGCACATCTCGTCTATTACCTTTTCTTAGGTTAAAATCACACTACATCGTTTCGCGTTACGTATGTTCGACAATACCAAAATTAATCAAGTGCTGTTATAATTTTTCACAGCTGCCGGGCACCTATAGAATCTCAATACATACACCGGCATAAAGACACCCTACCCCTCCCCCACGTGTGCTCCTTATGTGCCAAGACTGCTTGGCCACCACACGAAGCACGCGACTCAAGAATCGAAATAAGAAAACCAACTCTTCGATGTAGCAAGAATACAAACGTCGACGAGGCGCTTCATCGAAACACCGAACCAAACAAAGAGTAAGACTAAGGAAGTTCAAGATCGTAACAACGCCGTGTAGTCGAGGCAGCTCTAACACGAGACCTCTCCTAAGGAAAGAACAACATATCTCGAACGAGCACGTAAGAGAACAGAGCAATGAGGAACGAGAACATAAAAAAAAAGAAGACACTCTCCAGCACCCGCGATAGCACGGTCATCATCAAGTTTGAGGTTTGCAAGCTGGCACACTCCTCCGCAGTGCACCCAGGACCCACGACCGACGTGCCCTCGGACAAAATCGAACCGCCGGCAGGCGAGCACACCCGAAATATCACCACCAAAGTCGTTAACGCTACCCGAGAAGTATACAAAGAAAGATCCTGCTTCTTTTTTTCCCTTCTTTTTAAATATATCCTTCTTTACTCGTTGCAAATTGTCTTCCCTTGCTCTTATGGCAATCGTGTCGTCCCGCCTTTGTTGTCTTTATTTATTTACCAACGTTGTTGTCTCGCGTCCTAATCGCACGTCGATGTCCCTGTTGCTCACTGTGCGCGAGTAATTTTAGTTCGGCCATCCATTCAGCAGCCCTCACGTCCAGCAGGCATACGCACTTTTCCTTTTCCGTAGTGTAGGGTAGCAAACCAGCCGTTCCTGTGCGTGTTGATCTAGACTCAACATTTATACTCTATATATCTATATGTCTATATGTCTATATGTCTGTCTATCTGTCTATCGTCTGTCTATCTATCTATCTATCTATCTATCTATCCTGACAGACAGACAGACGAACGGAAGGACGGACAGATTGACGGGCGGGAGACAGACAGACAGGCGGATGAACAGACGGACAGACGAACGGACGGACGGACGGACGGACGGACGGACGGACGGACGGACGGGCGGACGGACGGGCGGGCGGGCGGGCGGACGGGCGGGCGGACGGACGGACGGACGGACGGACGGACGGACGGACGGACGGACGGACGGATGGATGGATGGATGGATGGATGGATGGATGGATGGATGGATGGATGGATGGATGGATGGATGGATGGATGTTGATTCCAACTTTCTTTCCCGCACACCGCGGTTGAGGTGCGCTCCGCATAGAGTAACTGCACGAAGGGTTTTCCCCCCACTATTTGCCTATTACAAGAATATCATAACCTCTTTCTTTTCATCACAAAAGCACGCTCCGTGGCGATGAGGGCGCAGTGGAAGGAGGTGGGCGCTCTTATTCAAGCGCTGCCTTTTACTCTGCTTTCTTCATTTTCCCGCTCACTTGCAGCCACAGTAGCACCGCTAACCCAAATGCGCGAAGTTAAAAACCCCAGACAAGATAACGTTTGCCTTTGTGGCGCCTGCCGCACTTCAATGACGTTTTCGTTAATAGACTCCAGTCTTCCACGAGCAGCGAGCTCTCTTTCACTCACTTTTTATCTCTCTCGTGACTAGCGTTTCGATCAACTGCTGTGACACTTTCAATGTATCAAAGATTAGCTCTGCACAGGACTATGAACTTCCGCCATTGTTGTCTTCATTCGTCTTTTTTTTTTCGCTCCTTAATCTTTTGTATGTTCGTTCCGGTAATTATAAACGTACCACGTGTATATCGACGTTTTGTGCCCTACGGCTTAATATTACATTCTATGAAACCCTAATTGCAGCGCAGCGCTACACTCAAATAACTTGGACGCCACGGTACAATGCGCACTCTACGGTCTACATGCACGCCACCTGTGCACAAATCCGGGCAGCGTGCATGAAGAGAGACATGTAATTACAAGAAATTTGTAGTGTTGATTGATATACTATCCCGCCCACGGTTCTCATTGGTTCGAATACCAAACCTGGTGGAACCAATCAGAACCAGCACGCAGTTACCCTGTATGCGCTTAAGCCAGAATACCTTAAGCGAACCTATCGCATTTTGGCTGATGCTACGCATTCAGAGAAAGCGTATAGACACGCCTCGTGGAAGCCGGTATCGTTATAGCGACGCCACATTAGCGCGACAATAGAGCTCTTTGA